GGTTGCTTCCACGGCGGCACATGGGCGGCTAGGAGAGTTTTACATATATATTACATATAAAAGTGGTTAGCTTGTACGCATCGAAGTAGATGTATATTTATATTTAAAACAAGATTTATAAAATAAAATTTATATTTTGTGACATCTAGCTCTTGATATTAGTGAGTGGAGGGAGTCCAAGAGTATATATCACAAGATAATTTATATTTAAAAAAATCTATTTTTTTCCCTGCACATAGAAGTTTTATAGTGTTTTTCATTTTATAATTTTTTTCCATGAGAGAATTCGAGAAATTAGCGAGGATATAATTCTTAATTTGGTTTCTCTCATATTTGCTTGAGATATTAAATTAACTATTAGGTACTTCCAAAAAAAAAAATGTTATCTTTCATGTGGAATCGGAACTCGAGGGTGATTATGACAAGGTATTTTATTACAAGGTAGTGTCAACGATGTGATAAAGCCATGGAGGATCTGGGGATATCTTCGACGATAGAAGGATTGAATGGTCGTCTCATGGGACAGTTGTTACTAATTTTACATTGTACTAGCTTTGCGTAGGTTTAATAATTTTTTAAAGTATTTTATTTTAAAATATATATAAAAAATAATATATATATATATTTATTTATTAAAATTTATTTTTTATATTAGTATATTAAAATGATCTAAAAATAATAATAAAATAATTTAAAGCAAATTATTTTTTAAAATTTAATGAAAAATGAATTCAATTATGATACCAACAAGACCCAAGATCCCTCAAATTGTTAATAATATCTTGAATATTACCCATGCCCAAGAGTTCAGTTCAGGGATGGGTAAAACCCATTTTTTCCCGTATGAGATGGCGTGTCCTATCCTTAAAAAAAAAAAAAAAGACTTAGTGAGGAGATATTTACATTGCCATGTAGTATGATTTTTAAAATAGTATTTAAAAATATATTAAAAAAAATCTTTTTAGATTTTATTTTAGTTTAGATACAAACACATCAAAACCTTTAAAAATAACTTAAAAATATATCAATTTACACATGTAAATGTACTTCTAATGAAAAGTCAACTACAAGTTTGATATTACATATTTGATATTGTGATGTAATATATTTTTTAAAAATACTTTTTAATTGAAAATATATTAAAATGATTTTTTTTATATTGACATGTTAAAAATATTTAAAATTATCTAAAAAATATTAATTTAATATTTTTTAAATAAAAAATAATTTGAAAAGCATAAATGATTATATGTTTTTTGCATTTGTAAAATGATTACGTTGTCCTGTTTAAAATATATTTACTTTAAAATTATCAACTTTTAACAGTAATTATAGGCCGCAAGCTCCTATTTATTGGAAAAAAAAACCGAAATAGATATTTCAAAAAAAAAAATAACATGCATATACAGTTTTGATTTAATTTAATAGGTAAATAACACTTTTAAAAAGAATTCAATAGCATAAGAATTCGAGCCAATGCACTGTTATATATATATATATATAAAACTTAGGACAGGCAAGAAAGAAGACAGAAATGCTGAATAATCAGCGATAAGATCTGTTATGCTGAAGCCACATTAACAAGTGGTTTGAAAGAGGCTGAAGATGATGATAACTGTCACAATCCCATTTTGACCGTAACTAAAATCGATCAAAGTATTGATGGCGAGGATGCATGCATGGTATTCTGATGACTGCTTTATTTGATTCCAAATGCGGTCCAATTTCTTACGGCTTGTCCTCCGCCCATGTGCTCAGTGTATCAAATTACAGTAATCAACGAAGAGAAAAGTTA